GGATTCTACTTGAGCGATCGCGCGAGCGCGCGCTGACTGGCGCCATTTGTTCGACATCGCAAGGCGAAGAAGAGGCCCTGTTGCAGTGCCCCCCTGTCGCGAGTAGGATTGGCCGCGGGGTCGAAAATCCCGGATGCAGCTGCAGCGAGAAGAGCTCGGGGCTGGACAGACCTCCTACCCTGACACGTCGATTGCGGAGTTGGCCGTTTTCGGTCCGCGAGCGGGCGTCGCGGCCGTCATCATTGCGGGCCCACGTCCGTCGATTTCGGTCCCAGGCCGTTTTCACTAAGGGGGGGGTCTACTAGAGGGAGGTTTGTCCACCGCCGAAGAGCGCGCTTGCGCGCTCCTCGCTTGCGGTTGGGGCTTGCGTCGCGGATGGCCCGGCTTTGGTCCCCGCAATGAGCTTCTCATTGGGACCTGGGACCTTGGATCCACCGCCGCGGCCAGGCGCGGGCGGGGGGTCGCCGCCGTTCGCTTCGCGAGCGGGGCCGAGGGGCCCGCGGGCGGGCCGAGAATGTAAGTCCCCATTCGAAATTCCACTGCGTTACATGATTCGGGCGCCGGCTGCGGGGCCCCGGGGACGCCGCGCAACTAGCCCCCGCCCCCCTGCCAGCGGCCAGTTTTCTCCGGGGCACTCGATTCTCAGGACATTGGGCATCGCACGCCGCGCGCCCCCAAGGTCAGTTGCCCGGGCTGGGCGCGGAGAAAGGCCGCCAGCCAGCGCGCGCGGCGAGGGGCGCAAGTCGGCGTCAAGTGCAATGGCCCCCGGAGGCCCACGACAAATTGCGGGCGCGCTTTGGGCCGCGAGTCCTAGGCCATTTGCGGATCGCCATTATCGGTGGATATTGGAATGAGTCTCGCCAGTTCGACGCGGGGCGCGCGTCCTGTCAGCTGCGCCCGAGGGGCGGGGTCGAGCCGGAGGCGCCTGCGCGCCGATATTGGAAGTCTTGCAGGCGCGACGAAATTGATTGCGCCGCTGTCCAGGCCGCAGACGTCTTGCCCCCATTGTGATCGCTGAGCGGGGTGCCCTTCCAGCGTTGTGGCGCAGGGGGTCAGCGCCCCCACGAACAGGCGTCGAGCGGCTCGTCGGCCCCCCTTCCCCGCCCCAGCGCGCCCGAGCCATGCAGCGGGCCTTGGGCTTGCCACGGGCCCACCGAACTCGAACGCGCGGCGTCGAGCGTCGGTGGCTCGGGGGAAGGAGCATCCAGGATTCGAGTCTGAGGCGTCGCGGGTGGGGGGCGCGCGGTGTTGCGCCCGAGCGAGATTGAGATCGCTGGAAGGTTTTCTGGCGCCGTCCCGACCATTCTCCAGGGATCTCCAGATCCGGGCCGTTTGTCCATTCGGCGGCCATGGCGACCGCGGGAAGTAGTGCGTTGATCTCAAGCGAGTATCCACCTGTCGCGCAGAAGCAGACCTCGGAGTTACAGAGTGCCACGTTGGACGCGTGGAAATTCGTTTCCGGCGAGTTGGAAGCACGCGCGGGCCAAGTTGACGTCCGTCGGGCGAAGCCCCACCCAGCCGAGTCCGAAGCGAACCATCAGCAGCCGTAGAGCGTCGAGCTCCTGCGGAACCTCGCTGCGGACAGGCGCGCCAATGGAGATGCGGGTCGGGGCCGGGTTCTTTCCGACGAAGTAGACAGGGCTCACCAGGTGGATAGGTTGCATGAGCAAGTTTCGTTGCGCCCGTCCGATCTCAATCGCGACGTTTTTCTTACTCGCGAACGGAAGTCGAACGCGTGCGAATGCCCCCCCCCCCCCATTCGGTTTCGGAACGCTTCTGGAGCCATTGCAAGGCAGGCTCGAGCGAGGCGGCTGCGCGCGGCTGGACGCCATGGCATTGAAAATAGCGCCCTGCTTGCGCGCAACAGGTGCCACCAATATTTTCGGAAGAACGGGCCGTTGAGCGGTTTCTGGCCAGCCGCGCACGCACGTTAATCGTTAATCCTCCTTCCGCTTCCCGCGTGGGAGGCAGGGCCTGGCGACCCGCAAGGGGGATCCCCCAGGCCCCCTGTCATCATCGGCGAGTTGCAGGAGAGACGGGAACTCGGATTAGCCGCTTTCCCTGTCGCGCATGAATCCCGCTCAGTGGTTGTCCACAGAAATGTCATGTTTTGCGAGGTTTGTGGAGGTGCTTCTCGTTGGCAATCCTCGGAGGTTGAGTCCGCGCTGTCCCCCCAATGTCAGAGGGCCGGGAATATTACCCCCCGGCTTGTCGTCCTGAGGACTCCCCCAAGTCAAGTCGGGGGTAGTCCCCCGTGTTCTGGACAGGTGTCTCGCGTCGGTCTCAGTCTAGAATTTGGCGACCGCATGTTTCCCGTAATCGTGGCTCCTGTTCTCCTTCCTTTGGTGTATACACATTTTTACACAGAAACCAGGAGGGAAAGAAACAGAGAGACACAATTAATCGTCCATTCCTCCGAAAATATGGGAAGTGGGGGGAAGACAAAAACCCAGAAAATATACGAAAATATCGGGGATCTTTTTAATTGTGTGTATGTGTCCTGGGGTCCCTCCAAGAGAGAAATAGAGAGACAGAGAAGGAGAGATCTCGGAACATGCCGGGGGCGGGCCCAAAACCGCGGCCCAGCGTTGCGTGGGGCCCCAGCTCAGGGGCTTCCAGGCGGGGCCCCAAGGATCCCCGAACGGCCCCAGAGGCCGCCAGGACGGGCTCGAGGCCGCTTCGGACGCCCCGCGAGCGTTCAGAGACCCGAATCATCAGGGGTAACTCGGGTCAGGGCTAACTCGGGTTCGTTTTTCGGGAATCCGAACCCGAGTTACCCTGGGCCCGATTTACCCCGGATAATTCGGGCGTCCAGAGCCCCACATCATCAGGGGTGACTCGGGTCAGGGCTAACTCGGGTTCCTCTGTCGGGAATCCAAACCCGAGTTACCCCGGACCCGAGTTACCCCGGATAACTCGGGCGCCCAAAGCGTTCCAAGTCGCGCCAAGATGGATCCAAAAAGAGCCAAGAGCCCACCAGAACGCCCAAAGAGGGCTCCAAACGGCCTCCCCAGAGGCCCCAGAAGCCCAGATCGCATTCCCTGAGTAACACGTGCATTTTTTGTATATACAGTTCCTGGACTTCCACAGCGCCCTCGACGGCCCAAGCGCCCCCCCCAAACGCCCCAAGACGGCCCAAGGCGCCCACAAGAGGGTCCCAAGACGGCCCCAGAGAGTTCCAAGAAGGCACCGAATGAACCCAAAACGGCCACAAGAAGGCCCCAAAACAGTTAAATATCCCGCAGATTGTCAGCGGGCCCCCAGAGGTGTCAAGAAGCCCCCAAACAGCCCGCACAGAGGCCCCAAGAGGCGCCCAGACAGGCCCGAACACGGCCCGAAGAGGTTTCCATACCATTTACACAAAAATTCGGAACCGCCGCAATAGCCCCAGATGGCCCCAGATGGCCCGCGGCAGCATCAAGCAGGCCAACATAGCCTCCAAAACGCCTCAAGAGGGCACCGAATACCTCCTTGAGGCGCCCACGAAACTCGCAAAAGGCTCCCAAGAAGCATCTTCGGCCCCCCCAGGAGTCCGACATTTATCAAACACGTACGCAACACGATAATTTTCGATGTCAGGCTTTTTCGCAGTCGATGGGCTCCTGGGGTCTCCAGTCTCCAGGTCGCCCTCTAAGAGGCCTCCTCGGGATTCCAAGTCGCATCCGAAAGTGGATCGAGAGGCCCCACCAACCTTCAGAGACCCGCATGAAGCCGCCAAGAGATCCGAAGATGCTTCCAAGAGCCCGTCTCGCCTCAATGCTCACGTCCTTTCCTCCATCTTTCGTCAAAGCTCGCGTTTCTCAAACAGCCCCGCGACCGCCCTGAACCTGGAGGCGCCCCCCGAAGACCTCGCACCCCTGGAAGGACATGTGACGCACGCGCGGGGCCCTCTTCCCCTGGCACCCTGGACTTCGCGCGATGCGCATTCGCAGCTCCTTCGACAACGCGTAAAGAACCTAAACGCGCGCGCAGCGCGTCCATGGTTCTAGTGCACAGTGGAGGCGCATGCCAAGAAACACCCTGCTTGCCTCCAGGGTGCCCTGGAATTCTTGGCCATAGAAAGCGTGACACTCCCATCCCTCAAATCAATGAACGCCCTAGGGTCTCAGGGTTGGGTTTCGTGTGGAAGGTTTTTTGTGGATTGGCCTCCACTGGAAGCAGGTTGGAATCCCGATGAATGAATGGGTTAGTGAGGTCGCCAAACACGCTGCTGTGATTGGAGAGAACATTCACTGTGAGTCTGGCTGGAGAGCCGGCGTGAGCCAGCATTGCATGTCCTGGTTGAGTTTGCGCGTCTTTCGGCGCAGGACTTGTGAGTGAGTTGGTGAGTTGTGTTTCTCCCCTCGGAAGCGGGCGCCTGCATCAAGATTCCGGAACCAGAGAGTGCGAGACCAGGCGCTACTGACAGAAGTTGGGGTTGTCAGCTGGAAGCCGACACCATCAGCTACCATTCAAGAGTATCGCTCGCATCAAGATCTGCTGGCGCGCTTTGAAGAACTCCCGCGCAGGTCGCGCGGGAGAAGGACCCGCTCAGGCACCCGTTGGGCCGAGCCTTGCTTTGCCTTCCTTGCCTTTGCCCCGCTGGCCCTTTGCCGTCCGAATTCGAACTGGCGCGCGGCCTGCATCGTGTGAGCCCTCGTGCGTTTGCTCAGCGCTTGTTTTGGCCCAGTTCTCGTTGCTATCGATCGGCCGAGCGGCTTTCCTGCCAAGCCGAGTGTGATTCGACCACTTCCCTGGGCTGAAGTGGGCTGGACTGTTTTGTTTCTACGCTTCCTCTTGTTACTCCCTCCCCTGTCACTAATGACCCACTTTCTCCATTGCCCTCTTCCCCGCCTTCTCCTGGTTCTTTCCCCAAGGTCCTTTCGAACATGTCGGACTTTCTTGGAGTTCAACAGATACTTCCAGAGGTCCGCGGAGACCTTCAGAAGCCGTCGGACGCCCGAAAGAAGTAACGATACATGTCAAAAGCACACATCCTCCCTCTCCACCCCCGCCGAGAGGAGCGAATGTCCTGATTGCTTTATCACGCCGGCCACGGTCTCGCAAGACATCACGCTCACCATTTCGAATTGTGCCAGTGCTTCGTGGATCAGGTCGCAGACACGCGCCCCCGCCTGACATTCGAGCTTGGTTCCAGCTTCCTGCGCCACAGCGGCGGTGGCAGCGTAGACGAGGGCAGGTGTGATTTGGGGAGCGCTTGCTAGAGAACCTCAGTGGGACAAGGAGGGAAGTGAAGAGACGAAGTGCTTGTTGATGGCTCCGAGGAGGAGGAAGAGGAGGAGGAGGAGGAGGAGGAGGAGGAGGAGAGGCACGAGGAGTGGTCTACTTTCAGCGGTTCGAACCCATGCGAATCGAACCAGGTTTTTTGTCGCTCGACTTTCCCCATGGCGATAGAGTTTCTAGCAGGGGGTCGACCAACTCGCTGTTTTGGCAATTTCGTGAATCCTTGTTGTTTTCCCTACGCGTTCGTTTCGTTTCCGCTCGAGGACCGCCATTGGCCGATCACGACTTGGGATTTGCATCATTACGCTGTTTTGGGCAATCAGTTGGACCGTTTTCGTTCTATAACGCCCCAACCACAGCGAAACGAAACGCAAAACGCTGTGATTTGGGCCCCTTGGGGTCCAAGAAGACCTGAAGACAGCTCAGGATGGCCTCCAGACGGCCCCAAGACGGCCCCAAGACGGCCCACGATAGCCCCAAGAGGCCCTAGATGCTCCAAGGAGGCCCCCACGAGTTGCTCCAAAGGTCAAGAACTTTTATGTTTTAATGGGTTGTGCCGTCATGTTCGGCGTTCTCGCCTTTGTTCGGCTCGCGGGGCCCCTGGCGGCTCAAGCAGCCTCCCAGATGGCCTCAAGACGACCCCGGAGGCCCCCACGAGGGCTCCAAGACAGCCCCAGAGGGCCCCAGGATGTCCCGAAGAGGCCCCCGGGAGGGCTCAGCCGGTGCCCGCAACGGGCCCAAGAAGGCCCCAAGGGAGCCACGAGGCAGCCCCGAGAGGTCCTCGAGACGGTCTCCGACGGGGCCAAATGGCGCAAGAGCGCCCAAAGACGGCTCAAGACGGCCTCAAGACGGGCCAAGACGGCCCGAAGACGGCCCAAAGGTGGCCGGACCCCCAAGCGAGCCAGTGGATGCAACAAAGAAGGATTCCCTTGCGGGTTTGGTCATGTTTTCGAGTTCCCACCTTTTTCGATTCTCAGGGGCCCCTAACGGCCCAAGAAGCCTCTGAAATGGCCCCAAGATTGCCCCACAGGCCCCCAAGACGGCCCCAAGACGCCCTAGAGGGCCGCAGGAGCCCCAAAGAGGCACCCAAGACGGCTCAATAAGCCCCTCAAGCGGCCCAAGAAGACCCCGAGAGAGCCACAAGGCGGCCCCGAGAGGCCCCCAAGACGGCCTCCGAAGAGGCCAGACGGCGCAAGAGCGCTCCAAGAGGCCCCAAAGAATCCTCCAAGAGGCCCCCAAGACGCTTTCCCAAACGGCCCCAAGGACCACCAGAACGCCCGCAGATTTGTCCACGAATGGCGCGCTGTTGCCATGCCCGTTGGATTTTGAGCTTGGCGTTGCCTTGTGCTGACACGCGGTGAATGCCCATTGCCCTCGTGAATATTACAGTGCCGTTTTTTATACATGCTCCGCGTGCGGACCATGTAGTAAAAATGCAGGGATCTAGTATTAAAAACAACGATGAGTTCATGCATATTTCTTTCCTAAATTAATCACGTATTAAAATCTTATAATCTAAAAAATCCCATGTATGAGAAATTGCCCTGTAACACGCTCGTCCCGGCGCTGTCGGGGGGAGGGGGGCGCATCCGCCCCCCCGCCCCCCGAGCAGCGAGCGCTCCGAGGCGGGCAGCACAGCGCGGCAGAGCTGCTTGGCGGACGAGCAAGCCAAACCATCGAGCGACCAGCTGTTGCGTGCTCGCAGTGCCGAGGCAGGCAGTCATCTTTTCTGCACGCTCCCGCCTCCCGGAGCGTCCTCGCGTCTCGCCTGGACTTCCAGGCCCCCGGTTGCCTCCGAGCCATCCGGGATTGCATTCCCTGGAGTGCCCCCCGCAGCAGATGCTTCACCCCGTCGGGGATGGAGCTCTCACCGTTTGCGTGAGCTGCGTCGAGCGCGGGGCTGCCGCCGTGGCCACCTCCGTGTCCTTGCCAGGCAATGGCTTGAACAGAAGATGGCGCCGTGTTGTCGCGCGTCAGACAGGTCTCTGGATCGCAAGTGCGGAGATTGCAATCGACGCGCTCCGTGTGCAGGTGGGGAACACGTAGAGCTCCGTGGTTGCGGGGACGCCTGGGGGCCTTTCCAAGGGCCTCCGAGAGACTTCGTCTGGGCCTCTTGGGGATTCTTTGTGGGTTTCTTGGGTCTTGGGGCCTCTTCGACGCGTCTTGGGTCGTCTTAGGGCGCTCTGGCGCTGCGCGGTCTTTTCAGAGGCACGAGGCAACGCCAAGTTCAAACTCTGATGGGCGCAGCAACACCGTGACTTTCGAGTAGAAGTCCGCGGGCCTCTGGGTGGTATCTCGAGGCCCTTTGGGGGCATCTTTTGGGGCGTCTTGGATACAGAATGGGGGCCACTCGGAGGCCTCTCCGGATTTCTTTGGGGCGTTTGGGGCCGCCTTGGGGTGCTCCTGCGCCGCGTGGCCCCTCACGGAGGCCATCTTGGGGGCTTCTCAGGACCGCCTTTGGCCTCTCCGGGGGTCTTCCTGGGCCGCCTTTGGGGGCATGGGGGCCGTCTTCGGGCCCCTATGGGCGGTTGGGAGCCCTCCCAGGGCCCTCTCGGAGATTTTTGGGGCTCGGTCTTGGGGCCATCCAGGACGCTGCGCGGGCCGCCTAGGGCCCCTCGAGAGTCGCAAAAGAGGTGATACATATCAGGCGGGGATTTACGACTCCAGCCTCTGGAGGCGCGGAGGTCCTCTTGGGCCGTCTCGGGCGTTTGGGGGCCCCTCCTGGAGCCATGTTGGACTGTTTTGGGGCCGTGGCGGTGCGGTATTGAGCCGTCTGGAGGCTTCCTGGGCCCGCGAGGGGCCACTATCTATTCGTTTTTTGTTTTTGAGGTCAGAGGATTTCGCCATTTTTGGTCGACGGATGTGGCGCGATTCCCGGGGGGGATTCGGGTGGTATACATGACAATCTGCAACGCAATGCAACCAGTAGAATTTAGCTTCGCCATCATTAGCTGCATTGGATACGCTGCATTAAACCGTCCGACGGAAATTGCTGCCACTCAGCACGTCACCTCTGGACGTGGATTTACCTTTGCTTCGTGGGGCGCGTGTCCGGAACCCGCGAAGGCTGGGTTTTTGGTGGTTTTGTCGTGCCGTTTCGCCCCCGCGGGATTTCCTTTTCTGCGTTTTGCAGAAGCGTCTTGGGGACTGTTTGGGGGGTTGTGCTGGGGCCTCCTGGCTGCCTGTTACCCTTCCCTCGTCGCCATGAGTGGGTTCGCATCGAAATCTGGGTCGGATGGCACCATATGAGAGGGCCGTGGAATAGCAGTACCGCTGCCGTGGTACACTTGTTTACTCCCCAACAATGTCAAAGGGGAGGAGGAAAAGAGTAATTGCGAATGCGCCGCACGTGGAATTGAGACTGACTGCGGGCGCCGAGATGACCTGCTTCAACGCGGGGCAAGAGGATTAAATCTACGAGGGCCACCTACGGAACGACGAGGGCAACCACCTGAACTACGAGAACCACCAGTGGAACTCGCCGGACTACAAAAACAAACCGAAGTACTTCAGGACGCAAGACTACGACACAGGGTGTCGGCCCGATCTATTGAGCTTGCAGGGCAAAAAAATCACAATGGCTTCGAAGGTATTCTGGGCGTGTGGGATACCATCACGGAGCGCTGGGCATTCAGATATGGATCGATGGCCATCAGCGCTAAGAGTGCCAATGTCGACCCCATCGACAAGTGCTCCAAGAAGCGGCCCGCCGTCATGTACCAACCGACGGTTCTAACCTACCAGTATCACTATCCGATAAAAATGACTACGTGTCCGAGCGCTTATACGACCCCGCAACCTGTGGGTGATCATGTTTTTTTCGACGTGCTCCACGACGACAGCCATTGTCGATGTTGTTCACGACCGGATTGCGCAATCACTACGGCGAGACCGGCCTACCAGAAACAACTAAGTTGGTTGAACATGTATATAATGTTACTTCATGCCAACGACATCCGCTTTACAACGCTACGGACAAAGGCATCACGTGTGCATACGATATACCACGTTTACAGCATGCACGCGTTGTTGAGACGATGAACGGGCATCTCGTCTACAGCGTCACCGACAAGGAACACCATGTACAACGTTACATGCAAGGTATTACGTTGCTGGTCACCGTTGCACCATGCCATGAGTGGGACCCTGAGCGGGGCCCGCGGGAAAGCTTATGTCATCCAGGCGGCCATTAAAGACCCCCCCAAAGAGTTGCTTGTCGGCCCGCATTCTTTGCCTTTTCCTCCCCTCTCATATTTTTCTTCTGGTCTAGCAGCGTTTGCGCAGTGGTTTCTAGGGCGAGGTCGTCAGAGCTCACCTCCCGCCCTCCCTCCCCGCCACAGGGGGGCTCAAAGCATGGCCCCCCCTTCCACCTCCGGAAAGAGTCGGGCTCCGGTGCGAGCGCGACATTTCCGCGGCCAGCGGCGCGCCCGAGCGCGGCGAACGATGCCAGTGGCGCGGTGGATTTGGGCGACGCGTTCAGCGGTTGCGAGGGGGGCGAGGACGAGAAGGAGGAGGTGGTGGGGGAGGAGGAGGAGGAGCAGGGGATGCGGAAGGGGAGGATGGGGGTCAGGAGAAGGAGGGGGAAGGATAAGAAAAGCAAGCCGAAAAAGGATGGTGAATGGGGAGAAGGGGGGCTGCTCTTGACAAGGCAGGAAGTCCGCGTGGGATGTGTGGAATGACCTCTTGGGGCCCTCCCTGGATGCTCTCGGGGGCCCTCCGCCCTCCCCCCCCTCCCCCGCCCCTTCCCGCCCCCCCGGGGCGGGGTCGCGTGCTGCGAAGGGTCAGCCCTCCATTCTTCCACGCAGAAGAAGCGTAAAAGGGTGCGTGGCAACGAAGTTGAGCAGTATGTGTGAAAACGCATCTCTGTTTTCGAGTGAGGAA